CCGAAACCCTTTTCCCAAAGCACACCGTCACAAAAATTCTGAAACTTTCTAACCTTAGTCCATTTGTATAATCTACCGTGACGGCCTGCTCACTCCCCTCTTCTTCCTTTTTCTTTCTCTCCTTCCCTCCTCCTCTCTGTTTTCTCTCTCTCTCTCTTTCTCTCTCTCTCCCTCTCTCCCTCTCTCCCTCTCCCTCCCCCTCCCTCCCTCCCTCCTTGCCTTCTTCCCTCCGCTCTCTTGTAGCCCCTGCTGGCCTCAGCCTCAAACTTGATGTGTAACTGAGAATGACTTTGAACTTTTGACTCTCTACTCGTACTCTGGAGTGCCGGGAATACAGGCCTGGGCCGTGAGTGTTGGGTTTTGTTTTTTTCTTGAGACAGAGTCTAATGTAACGCTAAGACACTTGCTAGCCTCACACATACTTGCTCTAGCGTCACGGATGACCTTGAACTGTATGTGTACGGGCACACACGTGCATTCAGAGGACAGAGGTCAACTTCAGCTCTCTTTCTCAGTCACTTTCTACCTATTTTCTGAGGTCAGTGTTTGCCACTGAACACAGAGTTTACTTATTCAGCTAGGCTGGGTGGCCAGCAAGGTCCCGGATCATCCTGTCTGTTTGCTCAGTGCTGAGGTTACAGGTATATCTGCAGTGTCTGACCTTAGTGGGTGCTCAGGATAGAGCAAGGTACTCATGCTTGCTCAGGAAGCACTCACTGAGCCGTTTCTACTTCCCATGACCTTGACTTTCTGACCCTTCTGCCACTCCCCTCTCGAGTGCTAGCATTGCGGATGCGTGCCACCACACTGGGCATTCCCTTTTAAAGCCTCAGTACGCTCCATTCTGGATTATAAGCTATAGAAAAGGCCATATTTTACTTGCTCTGTGCTCACCTTCCAATATGGAGAGTCAGAAAGAGCTTTTTCGTGTCTGTTCTTGGATACCACATCTCATAGCTGTGCCTTCCCAGCTCTTGTGATGGAAAAGGCGAAGAAGAGAGGGAATAATGCAGTCAAGGCTTGGTTGTAACACTGTGTCCTGTGGCTTTGTTTCTTTGTTTCTCATGAAGATAATGTGAATTAGCCAAGGACTGTTTAAATAGATGTATTAGATGTGGATGTTTTGCGATGGGCTGAGCCAGGTTTCAGTTTTTCTTCTTTCCTAACCCGAGATACAAAAATGCACCCGTACTTAACTTGCAACCTTCCTGTCTTTCATTCTCCTAACTCTGCCTGTGGCAGGGAGACCCCTTCCCTCTGCTGCCCTGTCTTAGAGCGGAGGTAGTCCTACAGCAATGTGCTGAGTGGTTTCGAGAGGAGTCTGTGCACAACAGGAAGCAGTGTTGTGGGTGATGAGAGCTTCTTACCACAGGAGTGCTGGGCAAGCACATTAAGCACATTTGCTATCTAAGTAGTAGCAATGTTCATTGCTGTTCATTGATACAAACTTGCCGTTCTGTAGGAATGTTTCAGCGCCTAGGATTTGTGAATGGAAACAGCACAGCAGCTGCTTAAACATTTGAGGGCCTGGGACTGTGTTCAGGGCTAGGGCACATTTGTGAGGTCCTGGTTTCAGCCCCACCACCAGACACTTGAACCTGTAGTCCATTCCTCTTCAGCTTCATCGCACCTGGCTCTTAACATCTCCAGATGTTTGCTATGCTGTGGCCGAGCCCGTGGTGTCGACAGAGGCTCTAGGCATGGAACTGAGCGGCCGCTGGCCTACGAGTCTCTTCAAGTGGATCCTTAGGTGACTCTTTGTTTTCCATAATGTGGGGATGGCTTTGTAGGGGAAAAGTATGGAAGTCCACCATGGCTAGGCTACAAATCAAGTCGGTGATAATTATAATATGTGTGGTTCTAGTATTTCAGAATAGGGTACCCAGCACTGTTGTGCCTGCCTGGGTGGGATTTTAGAAACAGCAGCGTAGGGCTCAGAAGATGTAAGTATACCTTTTCTTTCCACTGTCTGCCCTGGGAGCGCTGTCGTGTCTCAGAAACATGGTGGTGGTGAGACAGCTGTGTTTCTTCTACTGCAAGAGCTCAAACTCTTATTTAAGTAAGTGGCAGCTCAGGGGTTAAGAGCATTCATTGCCTACTCTCCTAAACGTCCTGAGTTCAGTTCCTGGCAACCACTTATCTCCAGGATCTGTTAGAAGGTTAAAATTTGGTATACACACAGACAGAATATTGTGTACATGATAAATGAATAAATAAATATTTTTTTAAAAAAGTGTAAGTGGTAGAAAAGAGACTTCCAATTTAAGTATGATAATGTGGTTTTGTATTTTATTTATTTTTTATTAGATTTTGAACTATAAAATTAAAGATTAAGGAGCATAGTAACAAAGGAAATGTCACTTTCACATTTTTGCACGTTTTGGTTTGTGTTCTTTCTCGTAATACATGATGTGAATCATATTGACTGGCGTGATAGGATCCTGAAGTCTCTGGGGGAACTTGGCTGCAGTAGGGGGAGGATATACATTACAGCATTGGAGCCCCAGTCTCCCAGGCTGGACATCAGACTGCCTCAGAGATACACTGTTTCTCTGCATACATTGTGTCAGAGATACACTGTTTCTCTGCATACATTGTGTCAGAGATACACTGTTTCTCTGCATACATTGTGTCAGAGCTTTAGTGCAGATATGGAGTGCTTACTAAGCCAATCAGAAGCTTCTACTGGGCATGTGCCAGATGTAAAATCTTTCCGTGGTTCAAAGAATAACAAGACCTAGTTTTTCTATGCTAAGAGTTTATAATCTATTTAGCATCCTAAAACATAGGTATTTTAGGAGAATAAGTAGGCATTAGTCATTAAAAGTGTGCTTAACATTTCTGTAGAAGAACTCAGAACAAAGGCCTGGGTCATCAGGACGATTGCTGTGGGGAGGGTGCAGTTTCTTCTGAAGGAAGTGATTCTTGGGTGTGTGGTTAGTTTCTGTTTAAGGGAGTCCCGTCCAGATGCAGCAGATCTTATTTCATATGCATGTCACTTGTGAGCATCTTTTTTTTTTTTGATTTTTTTTTTTTTTGGTTTTTTAAGACAGGGTTTTTCTGTAACTTTTTAACCTGTCTTGGAACTAACTCTTTTAGACTAGGCTGGCCATGAACTCACAAGAGATCCGCCTGCCTCTGCCTCCCAAGTGCTGGGATTAAAGGCATGCGCCACCACCGCCCGGCTAGCATATCTTTTTTTTAATCTGTTGTTTTACATTATTATATATACTACTTGGGTAAGGGGTAAACTATATGTATTTTATTATCTGGAATTACTTTGAGAATACTACTTTTGTGGCTAAACTTCTAAATTATGTGTCTAAGAGATGTTGAGAAATATTTCATGACAGTGGCAGAGCTGGGGGTACATAGCTCTGGTGGACTAGTTGCTTATCATGTATAAAGCCTCTGCGTTCTAGCTTAATACTCGTTTTTAAAATGTTTTATGATAGTTCCTTAGATTCTAGATAAATATCTGGTAGAAACTAAAGTGTGTGTGTGTGTGTTTTGTAACCCTGACTGTCCTGAAACCAAGACCTGTAGACCAAGCTAGCCTTGAACTCATAGCTCTCCTGAGTGCTGGAATTAAAAAGGTGTGCGCCACCACCTCCAGCTGTGAGATTGAAGTTGCAAGCCTTTTTTTTGGGGGGGGTGCTAAGACTGTCTTTTTATTTCCCCAATAAGTTTAGTCTTAAATATCATGTGGCTGGGAGATGCAGACTTGGTCCATAGTAGGCTGTCTCCCCCCTCCCCCCGCCCGCTGCCCCAAACTGCTCTGTTCTTTGAGCTGGAACAGTTTTAACAATATTTGGCTCTTCTCTGTTGAGAGTCGTTTCAGAGGGTTTAAAGGGAGAAACCCATGACCAGATTGTACCCTGTAGAAAAGCTGTAAGCCCCTTCCTGGAAAACTCTGCCTATCTTGATACCATCGGTGTAGCAATCGCCACGAAAACTCACTGTCATAGGTGTGTTGCAATCTTGATCACTTGGGGGAATCTTTTTCCGTCCATTTTAGGAGGGCTTCCTGTCTCAGGAACAGCCTGTAAAGTGTCTGGAGGCCACTGAGGCCTATGCCTGGCATGAGTTTTCTGGAGTGAAAGGTAACTGCCCATATAAAAATACATCTAAGCTAGGCAATGGCAGTGCACACCTTTAATCCCAGCACTCGGGGAGGCAGGGGCAGGCAGTTGTTTGTGAGTTCAAGGCCAGCCTGGTCTACAAGAGCTAGTTCCAGGACAGCTAGGGCTGTTACACAGAGAAACCCTGTCTGAAAAACAAACAAATAACTACAACAACAACAAAAAAAACCAAAACAACAACAACAGCAAAAGGAAACACTTAAGGCTAAGACCACAGAACCAACGAAGGGTTCCCTAGACTTTAGGGATGGACCCAGTAGTATTTTCTTCAGCCAAATTCCAGGAAAAAGGAATTAGTGTCATTTGTACAGTTGTTTTCTAGACTTGGCCTGTGTTTTGAGGGCATGTGGTTTTTATTCTGAAAGGCAATCATTGACCACAGACTCAAATTTATCTCACAACATTCTCATAACCAGGTAAGCCATGTTGATGTCAGAAACCAGAACTGTTCTACTGTTCTGGTGATTTGGGGCTTTCTCCGCTTGAATATACCCAGGAACTCAGCACAAGAGCGAGGAGGCTTTCTCTTGTTAGTGGTCTCTCGTTATTCTCCCCCACCCCACTCATATGATGGCAGGAACATGCCCTGCTCTGCTTCCTGTCCCACTCATGACTATGTATCTGAAGATCTCCATTTTGGCTCTTGTGGGTAGCCATCCCTCACTGGCTGTGGCTAGTTTCACAAGGTTGTGGAGTGGGGCGTGTCAGCTGACTCTTCCTCACGTGAGAACCATTAAGAGAGTGGCGTGGCCAATGTCAGAGCAACCTTGCAGTTGAAGGTTTGCCCAGAGCCACGCGAGCTGGTCTCGTGACTTGTAGAGGGAGGGCTGTATAAACTCAGCTGGGGATGCGGATGGTGTGAGTCAGAGCAAGCTACAGGACCTGTTGAGTTCGCTGCGTCCAGGCTCAGGAAAAGCAGGGAGAGATTTGTGCTCGTCTGCTTTATTATAGGTTTACTGAGAGCACGTTTTATAATGTAATGGATACACCTGCTTCCGGAAGTCATCCTGGGCCTCATGTACATGATGAATGAACCTTTTCTTCCTAAGCTTCTAAAGGAGGAAGTTAGTAGTAGCTTGTCTCACATGCTGTGCAGAAGTGAAATGATCTTTACGCCGGAGCTGTTGCCGGTCACTGTGGAATATCCCCCAGACAGCAGTGGATCTTCAGGAGTGATCTCGTCCACGCTGGGGGTCAGGAGCAACTGAAAAGCGTCTGCACCTCTCAGAAGATGTGTGGTGGCACAGCAAAAGCTACAAACCGGCCAGCAGGCCAGCAGGAGTCCGCCAGATGTGCGGCGGAGGCCACTTCTGGTGCTGGGCGGGTTTTCAAGACACTCGTATGCGCAAAGATTCCAAAATGCGCCAGAGGAGGAAGGGGAGCGGATGCTGCAGGGCTCCACCACAGGTTTGAAAGCTTAGTTCTCTTGCAGTCTGTGAAATATTGGCTTCAGCTGGACTCGTAAGAAGTTTTGTTTGAAATTTTGAATTGTGTTTTCAGGAATGCTTTGCATAGGAGAAATATGGTTATCGGTAGTTTGCAGAAACAAGTCCTTTCGTAGAAAAGACGTAGGCGCAGGCATTCTATTGGCCGTTTGGACTCTGTTACCATCTCGCCTTCCTCTGCTGGAGCTAGCGGTAGTTGTGGCCTCATCTGGAATCTTGTGCCACACTGCTTGCACCTAGAAGGTCAGAGTTAAAGCCCCGAGTACCAGAGGGCACAGAGGACGGGGCAAGCACTGGAGTTCTGCTTGGTGGTCGCTGCTGAGGTGGGGTGCTGAGGCGGGGTGCTGAAGCAGGCTACTCTGAGTAAAGACCTTCATGAGAAGGGTGTGTCACGACCAACTCACATTAGTAGTGAAGTCTTGAGGCACACAGTTGGACCTGCTCTACTTATATTCTTTCTGGTTACTTCATGTACTTTTTTTTGTTTGTTTAGATTTATTTAGTTACATGTTTGGGTGTTTTACCTGCCTGTGTGTCTGTGCACTACTTTCATGCCTGGTGCCCGTGGAGGCCAGAGGAGGACATCAGCTCCTCTGGAACTGGAGTTATACAGATGATTGTGAGCCACCGTGTGGGTGTTGGGGATTAAGCCCCCGTCTTTTGGAAGAGCAACCAGTGCTCTTAACCGTTTGAGCCCTCTCTCCATCCCCTTTATCTTCTTCGGAAGAATTAATTTCCCTAGTAGGAGAACTTAATTGAAACCCTTTGTGAGATTTTACTGTGTATCCAGAATGACAGAAGGAAGAAAAGTGAAATAGAAACTTTGTGAAAGTTTCATTTCCTCCCAGAATCTTAGGTTGAAAGCCTAAGGTGAAACTCCAGTTCTGTGGATTAATGTAAAAAGGAAGCTTCTAAATGGACTTAGGAATTGTACTTGAGAATGTCTTGGTTGGAGTGATGGCTAGGTAGTTAATAGCGCTGACTGCTCTCACAGGATATGGGTTTGGTTCCCAGCACCCACATAGTGGCTCACAGAGGGCTCTTAACTCCACTTCCAGAGGACCCAGTACCCTCTTCTACATTCACTGTATGAGCACGGTGCACATGCATATACCCAGACCCACATAAAGTAAAACAATAAAATTTTGACAACAAGTAACATTTCTCAAAATCATCATCTTTCACAAACTGCTTATCCTGTATAAACTGTTATATTTATTGGTTTAGCTAAAAGAAATCAAGATATATATCTGAGACAGGTCTTACTGGATGGCCCAGGCCAGGTTTAACTAGGGTTAACTACCACACCCAACTGGAGTATAGTTTCTGTCTTGCAGAAATCTTTGTCTTAGTACGACTTAATGAAATGGTTAAGTAGCCTACTACCAGACACAAGCTCACTGGAGAGTAGGAGCGGTCATTTCACAAGTGTGGCCCACGTGCTCTATGCCCAACAGAAGGGATCTGTCCACAGAATGAAGTGGACGTCTCTGAGGATGTCACTGTTTGTGTGCGTTCTTGTCTGCTTCTTACCAAGAAAGAAGAGCAGAGCGGTGGGGGAGGAGTTGGAGCTAAGCCTCCAAAGCTGAAGCTGTAGCCATGGGCCACACTGGCTTTCTGAGCCCCACTCCTGCTAAGCTGTGGGGTAGCCCCAGACTGCTTGAAAAAGACTTGGAGGTTCTTACTTGGGGAGGCCGTCCACATAAAATAACTTGGATCATGCCAATTTCTTTCTTTAAAATGTGTTTTGTGTGAGCCAGTACTTCTTCTCTGCTGCTTCCCAACCTTTTTGCTGTTTTGGTATGCTTGCTTTCAGTAGTTTTCACCTAGGCACGACTTTACACATAATAGAACACTTTGCAGCCTGTTTACCCCATGATTTTATTTCAGAATTTCATTCCTAGTGCTGGAAGGTTTCAAGGTTTGTCTTTTACAGCTTAGTCTTGTGCAGAGAGGACTTTTTATAAACGTACATGTCTTCAGAACTGTCTAGCTGGACTCAGTTGGTCCCAGTTTGGTTGGCAGTACCCGGAGGACCGTCATAGTTGGGAGCCAGTTGAACCCTTGTCTTCTCTCTATCCCCTGATCTGACGTTGATCCCATCAGTGCTGAGCTGCTGCAGTCCATTGATTGGCCCCTTGTTGGCCCTGACATCCACAGTGAACACAAACATGCTGTCTTCTGTCTTCTTGGATGTCTCAGTGGTCAGGGGAACTTGGTGGCTCCGTGGCCAAGTTTGTTTCTTCCAGGGGCAGTTTGGCCGGCCTCCAGAATACAAGTGTCTTGACCCCCTGGGAAGGTGTTTGAAATTCGTAGGGGTTCATTTCAGGTCAGACCAGTTGCCTCATCTGCTCTCTTTCCCTTCCTACAGTCTTAAAAATGTGTGTGTGGGCTGGTAAGATGGCTCAGCAGAGGAAGGTGTTTCCGAGAATCCTGTCAACCCGAGTTCCATCTGTAGCGGTCACACGGTGTAAGGGGAGCCCTGACGCCCATAGATTGTCCTGACTTCCAGATGGGCGATGGGTGGGTGGGGTATGTGTGGGTGATGCTTGAGAGCCACACAAAGTGGTGTGTGTGTGTGTGTTACTTACAGTAGTGCACTGGTTTCCAGAATTCATTTTCGAGCCCTGGCTAGCCCCAAGGGTGCTTATAAATTATTGACTGTAGCTTGCAGAGTTGGGACCTGGCCCCAAACTGCTCACTGGTTTCTGTTTGCTCAAATCATGCGGCTGTCAGAGTGACATCCAGCTCCGTTCTTGTTCCTATGCACTTTAAGTCAGTAGTTTCAGGTCTTATTGAGCATCTTGATAAGCTGCAGCTTTTTATGTATTTATTTTTGCCTCCTCGTGTTTTTCCAATCATACGAAAATGGATCCAATGGTCACATGGTATGCATAGGCAGCATCGGCCCAGTGACCGCCCCGCCTGTGCAGATCACAGCCCAGTGGAGAAAGGTGCATTTCGGTCACCGTGGTTTACAGGTAGAAACAGTCTTCCGTATCTTCTCTTCCATATTCCTTTGTTTCTATAATGACAAACAGTTCATGGATTTTCAGAATCCATATCAACAAAATTCTGTCTCTTAAATGGTTTGCCACTAAAGAATTCCTTCCTAAAACTCAATTGAAATCTGGTAAATTTACGGCATGCTGGGTATATAGTAAGGTTTTTAAATAACCATTTCCAACCTCTCTTAAAATGTAGATTGTAGCAAAGCTACTGTTGGTTTTTGATTTTTTTGTATTTTCCTGAAAAATTGGATAAGGACATAGAATTGTTCCTGAGGTGTCTTGGGAATGTTTGCCAACTGTATATAAGAAACAGGAGAAATTGGCCTGGCCTTGTCGCTGGAGCGAAGAGGAACCGAGATAAACAGAACCGATTGTGCTCTTCAGTTTCAGATCTGCAAGTTTGAGTTCAGAGGAAACTGTACCATACAGGATGGGAACTGGGGAACTCAGGTGGAGCCAGTGCTGAGAGTGGGCCACCCCAGCCCCCCAGACAGACCACGCCATGATCAGCAACATGGGTGGAGGCAGTCGGTATGTGAAGACCATTTTAAAAGGAAAATCCATAAACTGAAGTAGCTTATCAAGTGTCCTTTAGTAAACTGAGTCACGGGGATAAGTGGACAGTGGTACCGAGGATAGTTGGTAGGGGATGCAAGAAGAGTCACAGATTTAAAGACAGGTACTAAGGTGGCTAACAGCAGAATTCTGAAGACATTTGTCAAAGGCCATTACAGGAAAGTGTTCGTGTAGGCTCCAGGTGTGGGAAGTGTCTTTCACGAAGTTCTGCACATGGAAACCGTGAAAACCATTCCACTTAATAGGAAATGTGTCTGTTGTGAAAGGCTGGATGAAGTGGATAGAGAAACAAATTAGAACACAGGCAAACAAGTGAAAACCACAGCCAGAGAGCAGACAACTGGTCGTCTTGTGTTCGTGATGAGTTTTACAAGCCTGCTGGGTGTGACTCTTTCTCAAACGGGTCACAAGGTCTGGCCTGCATGCATGTTGTATTTGCAATAAGGAGTTTTCTTCGGACTGATTGGTAGGTAGTTCCCAGCGGTGGGTGACTCTGATTTGGGGATATAATCTGACACTGACTGAAGGAACGCTGCGGTAATTTCGTGGCACAAGTTTCAAGAACTCTTCATCCGAGGACACATCCATTCCTAGGCGAGAACCGGTGCGGTGCGGTGCGGATACAGGGGCTTCACAGAAGCGGACAGCGGACAGAAGCTTCTGCTGTCTGGCTCTTATTTTGATAAGCCTTGGTGACAGCTGGGTAAAACAACACTTGTTAGTCACCGTATGTAATCCACTCCGGAGTGATGTGATGGCGTCCCGCACAGAACACGGGGCTACTTCATCCCTGCAGCCTGCAGGTCCACTGGGCAGCTGTGGAAGCATCTCTGTTCAGTTTCCTGCGTTGAGCTTGGGTGCCTGCTGCGCTGTTCCCCACTTCCTGGCTCCCCTGCTCTCATTCCTGTTGTGAGTCAGACTCTGGTTTAGCCTGTCCTGTTGTTACATTATTAACAGAAGCCGGGAGAGTGCTGAGCAGTGAGCAGCCAGCTCTGGTGGTGACCTCCTTTACCAAAGCCACGCGGCACCCCAGGGCCACACTGAGGAGGACGTAGGGAGTTCCTGTCAGGAGTTCCTGTCGCACCCCGCGTCTCCACACACCCAGAGCCTGCCTCACACGGTGGTGGTTGGTGCATGTGCGTAGTGACACGTCGACACCCAAGTCGTTCGTTTAAATCTGTGTTCACTCTTCATGGTAGATATTGTTTGTTCTGACAGATGAGATTTATAGTTTCAGCACCCTAGCAGTTGGCTTGATCTGTATGCCCCATCTTCTCTTCTGAACCGCAACAGTCTTTTTCAGAACGTCGTTTGGTTAGAATCATACAACAGACAACCTTTTCAGACTGATTCTTTTACTAAGCAGCATCCATTG